ACAAATAAGTAATATTAGTATAGATTAGGGCTTTAAGGAATAAGGATGGGGTGAAGGGGAAGGATTGGGTCTCTGGTAACCAAATTGAAATTACGCAAAACTTAACCAGTATAAACTGGTTTTGTGGTCTTGATTTGTAGCCATGCGTTCCTGATGGAGCTGGTCTATTCAAGTCATATAAAGCACCTAGGTCCTTACACTGTTTAGAGATTGTCATCTGTTTGTTTTTTGCAGGATCCGAAGAGGTTTAAACAGATGCGGCGTCACAAATCTGGCGACTTACGTGGAGTTATGACGTTGATGAAATAAAAATTGACAAAAAAAATACAAAATCTTTGATTTAACCGCTAATAAAGGAATATGGTAGTTTCCAACTAGTCAAATTCAATACTTTTATCCAAATGTCAAAAACGATACTTTTTATTCAAAATGAAATTCCATTCCAAATGACGTCATAGATAGTATTTTTGCGTCAAATAGCTTACTTATTTCATAAAAATAAGATAACAAATATCGAATGTGTAGTGTATCGACAGATCGATGAGAAAAAGTTTAGTTATTTTTCAATATTTTAGTGTATTGAAACGTCGAATTAAATTATTATTGACATAGGAAACTAGTACATAGAAATTGTGCGTCTGACTTGATAAATAGTTAAATTTAATATCTTTTACAAATCGTTAATTAATTCATTGAAGGAAAATACTCAAATGACCCGAGAAAAGCTCTACTAGTTTCAAGTCACAACGGGACTCTTAATTTGACCGTCGTCACGGCGACTTTGGTCAGCCGACTGAGTTACAATACAAGAACCGTCAATACATCCAGTCTTGTTTTTCTAAATCACATATCATACTTTCATATTTCTTGATAATCTTTATATATTGTTTTTTATTATTTTATTGACATTATTTTTTAATGTCATGCACACCTGTAATTTGTACAATTGCTTGAGCATCCAATTATTTGATTATTGTGTTTTTTGTATAACATTGGGTGATTGTATTGTTGGTGTGCTTATTTTTAAATAAAATAAAATAAATATAAAAATGGATCGCAAAATATGTTGGTAAGCGCATAACTCGACAACGTCTGGACCAATTATGCTAATTCTTTTTTTTTTGTGTTTGTTATAGTCAGTAGAAGGTTCATATCAAAATATTAGAAAAGTAAAAGAAAGATTAGGAAAAGGTGACCCTTTGATAGCGAGATAGACCCGTGCGAAGCGAAAGGCCGCTAGTTAGCTATACATATTCTTAGTACATAAGGAGGTTTGTAGTAGGTAAAACCAAAATAAATGAAATAGTTTTATTTTTTATTTTTGTAGTATTGAAAAATCGATACTACGCACTTTATTATTGACTAAGTTAATTATTCAATTCACAAACAATATTTTCACTATAGCCTATTTCCCATAAGTTCCTATCTACATTTAAATTCATCGCTCAAATCAAAAACCCCAACGAAAACCCTATTATTATTCCGAATAATAATTTTTAACTAACAACTAAAACAGAATTTGAACGTAAACTGAATTTTAACTAAAAATAAACTATTTTGTGAGTTGGTACTGAATAAGGCTAATTCAGCTGGTCGTTGGCTGAGTTAAAATCTTAATTCATTTATACCAGTTTTCTCTTTTCGCCCGCAATGGATGGTGAACTATTTGCCGCCTTCGTTTGAGCGTGGTTGCTGGTGCAATTCATAACATTTAGCGATTATCGCCACCTAAACATATAGAATCACAAAATATTTTTAAATAGTATTCGATCCAGAGGTAATGTGTGACAACCAGGAAAAGGCAGCCAGGAAAACGGTTTTTTTTTCCACATATTTATTAATGGTAGCGCGGAATCTGGGATTGTTTGGCCCCCTTTTATGTGAGACTCGGTAACGTGACTGCATTTCTACTAACCCCGGTGTTTAGAGGCGTACCTAAATTAAAAAAATATATCCTCCCAATTCCCAACTCCAAATTCCCAAAATCCCGTTTCCCCAGTCCCCAAATTCTTAACTCACAAGAAACCCTCGGTGTGTACAAATGACAGCTGGCATGATGGGAGAGCCGAGCTGCGGCACGAATGAGTCGGCTGGACCGGGATGTTAGCGTGGGCACAGAAAACCAGCATGAAAAATCTACAGCTATGTGTTTCGCCTTGTGAGTGACGTTAAAGGAGGCCCAATGCTTTCCCTCTCCCAATCCTTAAATCTTCGGAACCCTAATCCACAAAACTAACTACTCTACTCTGGTATTTCGGGTTTCCAAGGGCAGCGCTGATTGCTTTGCTTACCAACAGGTAAACCATCACCTCGTTAGTCGTCCTAAAATAATTAAAAAAAAAAACGAAAGAAATGGGCATCGCCGATTGTTTACCTTCTTCGATGCGTTATAAATCAGCTCGTAAGAAGACAGGTAGGTCATAAAAAAAATTGAACATAATATTAACATATAAATATTTATGTAATAATCAAGTCCACACATTTTTTAAATTAATGCCTTTCTCACTGCACGGTTGGTGTGGTAGCTGGGCAACTGGCTGCAACGTGTCGCGGGTTCGACTCCCGTACAGAACGACTCTTTGTGTGATCCACTATCCACAAATGGTGGTCTGGGTGTGCGTATGTGAAACTGTATGTTTGTAACCGCACCCACGACATAGGAGAGAACCCAAGTATGGGGCAACATTTTTCTAAAAAAAACAATTATTTAAGGACCCAAAAGATATGATACCTACAATAATAAAATAACGCCAAAATATACCAGCACTCAATGTACCCCGCTACATCTTATAACTTATACCGCCAGCTAACCTAATTGAGTGTAGTTGAGGAAGCGGTCAGAGAGGCACAAATGCGATTTATCTGTTCTCGAGTCACTCACTGCGGACCACTAGCGCTCTCACTGTTGCATTAGATATCTTTGCATTCGCAAATACAGAGCGAAACATTCTAGTTTTATTTTGTTCTATTGTTCATATGAGATCAAGAGGTTATAGCAGTCACTGTTACTATGAACGCTAGATGGCGCTTATCTAGCAAGATTTCAATTTGACCAATCACTGTTGCTGTCAAAAATTGAGTGTCCAATGGTGTGAAAGAAAAACTGTAACGGTGAAATGGCGCCACCGTTTCCAGAGAGTACTCTCGAAAGATACCAATTCTTAATAGAATTTTCTATTATATTACTCTTAGAGTTAGACAAATAAGAAAAAAGAATTGTAGTGTTTTTCTCGTTTGAAATGTAGCTTTAAAAATGCTAAAGAAATATTATATCATAAAAACGCTTCCAAAATAAAACAAATTATAAAATTATTTATTCATGTGCCTATTTCTAATTCAGTCAACTGCTTGACGATATTAATCGACCAGTTTCAAGCTGCGACGGAACCTATAATCACCCAGAATTCAGGCCGAAAATCGTTACCCTTTGTGTACCGTATATTTTTAAATAAATAACTGTCAAAATAACTTATACATATTTAAAATAATTCGGGTTTTCATATGGATTCTGTAGTATCGTGACCTAAATAACATTGACACAATTCCGTTCGTGTCAGATCTGCATAGTGAGTGTTGTCTAAGCGTTTGGGGGAAAAAAGGTTATGTTTTTGAAACGGTCTGCCGTCCGCAGCCGCGGTGCAAACTGACATATTTCATACACGTACCGACGGAAAATATCCGGACATATCGAATTCTGGAGCGAGGAACCGGTCAAGCATGAACCTATAGAAGTCATTGGGATTGCGGGTAAAAGTTATAAATAGATACCTACTTTGTTTTATTCTTACTTTAAAAGTATTATAATTTTTTGTAGTCTTAAGTATATGTATGTATGTGTGTTCTGCGCGAAAATAAAGAGGTCTTCTTTCATTCTTCTTTTCTATTTCTTTCTTTTATTCTTATTTTTCTCTCTCTTCCTTTCTTCTATTCTCTTTTTCTTTCTTTTCCTTCTTTCTTACATATATCCAACAGATGTGGCCTAACAGGGCTGATGTGCAATGTACTCTAAGGGCTGATGTTAAGCCAATAATGTTCCTGCTTGAAGCAGGAGAAGGAACGAGATAGTTATTAGACTCTCGCCCTAGGTAGGACATAGCGTAGGGACACTTGGGTAATACTATGGCCTCACAGAAAAGTGACATAAGACAATGCTTGCGTTATGTTTCGTCGTGTGAGTGATGTTAAATGTTACCGGAGGCCCAGCCCTTTTCTCCCATACCCCAATATCTAATCCTAGACCCTCAATTCCAAAATCCCTGCGCAAGACGCTTGTAACTCTTCTGATAATGCGAATGTTCAAGGACAGTATCGATTACTTATCAATTTACCATCAGTCATCAGGTGATCCGTTTTCTACCCAAACTCTAGCGGATCTCTAAAAGCCTACAACTACATACAAACTCCAGTTTTTAATAAAAACGGGCAACGAGAATAAAAAGAATGCACCAAAGCTTTCAATCTGGGTACAACTTTACTATTTTTGATGAAGAATTTCTAAAACCTTTATCTGCTTTTAAAGCCATCCAGTGGTTCTGTGAGGGCACTATGCTGTTATCATTTTGTTACTCTCTCGTATCCTCACGCCTGTTCTTTATAGATGAAGGATATATAAGAGTGTAGGTATACTAGAATGTATTGGTGGCTTTATTACCGCAACAACTTTGTGACCAATTTTTTCTTTCCGTCGTTGTATCAAAATTTGACTACATGGTATATATCCGAACGACACGCGCGAAGTGATTCGCTGCCAGTTTTTCCCTCAGAACGGCTAAGGAATGGATTTTTTTTTCCAAAGTCTGTGTTTCCCAAATCACACATCACATCTCTAGCCTATAAGTTCATACTACTGAGCAAAGGTCTCTTCTTACACAGAAAGTTTGAGAATTAGCCACCACACTTGCTCAAGGCGGATTGGCAATTTCAAATTTATAATTAGAAATTATAAGTCCAAGTTCCCTCGCGGTGTTTGCCTTCGCCGTATACCAGTAGTATTAAGGTAATCATATAACTTGGATTGAGTGACATTGGTACTTGCCAGGTTTGACTCGGGGCGTCTTGTCGTCCGACCAGCAGCAGGCCTCGAGGCGGCGGCGCCGTTTTCCGCGCGCGCCTCTTATTGGAGTCCTGCTGTCGGGGTGACCGCAGTGGGTGACGGGGCCCGCCAAACCATCTGGCGGGCCAATACCCGTCGGGGGGTTGCGGCGAATGCTTCGGCGATACCCGCCCCTCCGACACCTGGGTTAGTGGAGGAACCCCGGGTTGGTTTTTAGTCAGTAAGAGTCTGACAGTACCCTTCCCCGAGGGCGATAGGTCTCCATGAGGATTTTCCAACCCGAAAATAAAAAAAAAACTAAACCATAAATAGGTCCTTTTGAAACGTGAAAATAGAATAGCAGTCTGTCAGTCTGTTCGTCAGTGAAGCTAGGTGCACATTCCAAATTGTAGATTCGAATAAAAAAAAATATGTCGAATTCGAATTACAGTGTGTGAATGTTACGGCGAAAAAAACCAAAGGATTTTATTATTATATGTATGTACTTACTAAGTTCGGTATTGTTATAATTGTGTAGGTACTTAATTACATTAGTGTGTAAAACATTTATTTTTATCTTATCAAACCGATTATCAAAAAGTACTCGAGATATGTTTTGTATGTTCATATTTAAGGACATGTGTACTCGATGCACTTAACAAAACAATGGATAAACCTTTTTGCGAGCAAGCTGTTTTGTTTAAATCTTTTTTTTGTGTGAGGAGAAAATCATCAAATGACTTTTATCAAATCAAATTCTTTATTTTAAACTAGCGCATACCACTACCCCGGTGTCCGTCATTTGTTTTGCAAGCGAACTGCCCCGGCACCGAAAGGGTTGTTAATTCCCGATATTCCCCTTTACTTTTCTTAAGTTTTTTTTCCTGTGAACCTTCTCCTTAGAATAACGAACATAACAAAAAAATAATTGGCAAAATTGGTCCAGGCGTTATTAAGTTATGCGCTTACCAACACATTTCGCGATTCATTTTTATTTATTGAGATTATTTTAAAAAGATCACAACCGGCGCTTTTGCTCGTCAAGCAGCTTCTTCTTTTACCGCCCAGGGTCTAAAAACCCCCATCCTTCCTCCTGTTTGAGGCCGAGGCCGCGGTATCTTATTGCGTTAGCCCTTCAACGCTGTTTTGTTTAAGCCGGCTGAGCAGACAACTGATGGTAAGCAATGTCGAGGTGGCCCGGAGGTTAAGGCGCCCGCTTCTCATGCATGAGGGCACCCTCATGAGGGTTCGAAACCTGGCAAGTACCAATGTGACTTTTTCCAAGTTATATGCACTTTCTATGATTATTTAGACACCACTGACATACGGTAAAGGTAAACATCGTGAGAATTTTTTTTTTTTGTGAGTGGAAAATCATCAAATGACTTCTCCTGCCCAGGGTCGGGCGGGGGGGAGTGTCAGACTCTTACTGACTAAAAACCCCCTGTTCCTTCTCCTGCTCTGGGCCAAGGTCGCGGTGCCTCATTGCGCTTACCCCGCAACCCCGGCTGAACATCAGCCCTATGGGGCCCCGTCTGTGGTGGTCTATTGGCTCTTTGAGCTCGGGTCTGGTTCTGGTCGGGCGGCGAGCTACCCTTACTCGCCGTCCGCAGACCCGCGCTTATGGTGGCCGGAGATCATCTCTCGATCCCCGACGCTCGGAATGTCACCTTCGGAATGTCTGCGGCGGCTGGGGCGCGAGGAGGATAGTCCCCTTGCGCGCTCCGCCTCCTCCTTTGCGAGCATAACTGCTTCGCACAAGGAGGTAGCTTCCCATTTCCTCTCGCTATGAACCATGGCCTCGATTAAGGCCAGGCGCGAGAGGTCGCCGCCGCCGATCACATCGTGAGGAAACCTGGACTTATAATTTCTAATTATAAGTTTGAAATCGCCAACCCGCATTGAGCAACCGTGGTGATTAATGCTCTAACCTTCTCCGTGTGAGAAGAGGCCTTTGCTCAGCAGTGGGCACTTATAGGCTGATGATGATGATGATGATGATGATGATGATGATAAACACCCGCAACACCAACAAAGTAGCGTTTGCCGTAATATAACCTGTAGTTTGCTGTGCAACGTATGATAGTTTTGAAAAAAAGTATTTATTTGGCTGCAAACCTGAAATTGGCTGCTGAAATAATAAATATCTACGTTTTCGAAACCGCTAGCCGAGCCGAAAGGCGAGCTATCGAGAGGCGGTCAAAATTTTATGACAGGAAGTTGCGTCAATTTCCCCTTGCATTTCCGGTATCCGGGCCACGAGAACGGTTTTCAATTATTCCGTTATGCTAGACTCCGTTTACAGGGTTCCACTGAAACGTATTAATTTAAACATACAGAAATATATAAAGCTATGATTTATTAATCTAGGTACTGATGGCTGTATCGACTCAAATAAAACTATTTGTTTTGGCCTTTTAAACCTTCCCTTGACTCCCATTAATAATTCAAGGCCAAAATTATCCAAATCGGTAAAGACATTGTTGATTTATAACAATTATAACATAACAAAGAAAAGTGGCATTGATTTTAATGTTTATAGATTCATTCTGTTTTTTTTATTCGATAGACAACAAATGTGTAGATCGATTTCCTGATGGTAAGCAATTAGGACTGCCCATGGACATCCACAACAACAGAGGAGTTGCAAATAGGTTGCCGGCTTTTGGAGGAATTGCGGAGGGAAAGTAATAGGCCTCTAGTAACCTCACTCTCACAGCAAAACACAACGCTATTGCTGTGTCACGCTGGTTTTCTATGAGGCCGTGGTATCACTCCGGTCGAGCCGACCCATTTATGCCGAAGCATGACTCTCCCACACTTGAATAGTAAGAAAGAAAAACAATTTATTTGACACTACACACACCGCACAAACGGTGTCTTGCAGTCTAGCGTTCCTCGCGCGCCTCTCAGAGCCAATTGACTATCACAGGTGGGGCTCAAGAGCGCTGATGGTCAGCAGAGGTTGCAGGGTAAACGCAATAAGATACCTTGGCCTCGGCCTGGAGCACAAGGAACGGCAGTAACAATCTGACACTCCCTATCGCCTCACCTTGGGCGAGAGAAGATATTTAATGACAATCCCACTCAAAAAAAAAAAGTCGTGACTCAATATTACTTTGTACCAGGTATAATTTTCCAATACATGCCTATATATATCACTATTGACTACCCCGTTGACGCGGTGTGTGGATTCGATTCTGATATATAAAATACTTATCCCTTATTAAGTAGATTCATAACTTCATAGAGGAAAATATAAAAAAAAGAAAAATATTTTTTAAATTTCAAGTAAGTACCTAAATTAAATTCCGATTTTGACAGTAGGTATATTACCTAGGTAACTGCTTATGAAATTCGTGTTTCCTCTCATCAAAACATCCCCGGGAGCCTGCAGGTGTGTTTTCAAGGGGTGTCAAGCCAAACGAAGGTATAACAAATGTTATTTTTTTCCTTGTTCAGGTCATTTATCAGTCTGCTGGTGGAAATGTTGACGGTTCTTGCGTAGGGCTGCTAGACTGATGTTTTATCCGAATTTGTTTTTTTACGCCGTCTCTCCGAGAATACCATTACGTGAATTAGTTAATAAGAATGATGCAACAAACATTGTAATATGTGTACTAATACTTTTTTCATCAACAACATAACATTCACACCAATACCTACAAATACAAAAAAACTCCTGTGTGTATTAATATATATTAATTCATTATAAATTTCTTAAATTTATTATAGGAATTTCCTTTTAAGCAAATATTGCTTTTGCACTCCGCTTTTGCGTAGAACTTAAGATAATTATATTCTATTCTAAGTACTCAATAATTCCATTTTATTTTCTTAACAATATTAAAGAAACATGACTCTCATGCTTCAACACGAATAGACTGGTTCGTCCGGAGTGATACCACGGTCTTACATAATAGCGACGTGAAATGATACTAGCCCGAAAAGGCTGATGGCGTGCTTGTAATTCTTCTGCTGATGCGGGTTTCCGTAGGCGGCACCGAATGATCTACCAGTGCGTTGGATACGCATGTGTGATGCGTCAGTTAAAAAAAAACAAGGGTTATTCGATTTGTTAAAAAAAATATAGGTAGCTAAGTCTGTTTTACTTATTGAGAAAATACAACAATGATTTTCTAATTTTCTAATAGATTTTAGTGGCAGCCCTACTATAACATTGCGTAGAATGATAGAAAAAAATCGCCCTCCAACGCTGACTAATTCCAGAAAATTGTTGTCCATTTTATTGGTGACACACGTAATGTGTTTTTATCTATCTCATCATCAACAGCCCATAAGTGCCAACTGCTGGACAAAGGCAATAGGCCTTAGTCACCGCGCTTGCTCAAGACGGATTGGCGATTTTAAACTTTAGATTAACATATTAAAATAATTTACCTAATAACACAACTGATGAAAAGGTATCCACCATATTATATCGGGTATATTCGGCTAAATCTAGAATATTAACTACACAATGTGTGGTTAGTGGTTACTAGTTAATGAAAATAAAACTAATTATTTATAGAGACATATGTAATCAATACGCAATAGGAATGGGTTGTGGCATCAAAACAGCGTATAGACAAACATACGTGACAGTTATCACTATGATAAAAACAGCATTAATAATATTCGCAAACTTTGTCCAATCCTGACTAAACGGCTTACCATCGGAGTCACTATCGAGGTCCCATTGAGGAAACACGAAATATTTACCAAAACTTTCCAACACAAAATTGTTAAAAGAGATCACATAATTCTGAGGAGCAGACTTGAGTCTACATATTTTTCCCAATACACACGTTAGAAGCATTATTAACAAAGACAGCACAACCGAGGCACGGTAGTACAACAGCAAATTTGGAGGTTGTATATTCTTTTTCGGTATGTTCTCTGCTAGTTCACACAAGAAGTAGTGATGACATAGAAGACAGAAGCTCGCCAGACCCAGTCGAATAGGACGCCTCACATCCATAAAAAGAACGTTCATACTCAAAAATGACAATATCATAGCTGGATACACAACAATGGCCGCCAAACCTGTCGCTTCCCGATCCACTACAAAAGTCAACTTCACCTGTTTACTAGAACTGTGGTTAGCCTCCTGTTTATAATCTGTTATCATCCACTCTGCTCCATATTCTGCCCCCAACATGCTAAATATACGCGAAGTCGCATTAATTTGTGTCTTCAGCCATTTTGAATCCGAAGCCTCGAAGATGAGATGACACTCCTGTTGGTCGTAGGGCCAGTGCGCGAGATTGACGTTACAGAATGCATCATGCGTGACCCTGCGCACGCATTGCACGTCACCATCACTGAAAATCTTGCAGCGAGCGATGTAGAACTTGTTTTCAAAGTCCTCTGCAGATACCGTATTGACGAGAGCTATGGTAGGCGCCCAAATGTTCATCACTGACATTTCTGTCACATCAATGCCGTAGTATTTCTCCGGGTTCCATCGGAGTCGAGGGTCGTTCCAAGACACAAACATCCTTGCTTGAACTGAGAATGTGTCTTCTTCGCTGTTAAAGCTGAATTTCTTCATCACGAATTTAATATTGACTGGGAAACTCGAGCCGTTTTGTGGTGGTGGATCGAAGATTTTGTAATCACATTTCAGGTCTTTCCGAAGCTGTTTCTCGAATGCCGTGCGTTCGGGTAGGTTGTTGATGACACAGTCCTGTGCAAGGGTTACGTGAAGGGTAATAAGAAGTAGGTATGTTGACAGAGCCATGGTTTGTGTTATACTGCTGGACAATACTGATAGTTGTCAGACTCATGGAGTAATATAATAGGTCTCCGCCCACTGCGATTACTTTCATTGAGGCCGGCTATGTTTATCAGTATGTGTTTTATTGTATCGTGTTTAATGATTGTGTCTAATAGATACGTTTTGTTGTAAAATTGATAGAATTACGTTTATTTTTAAATGCTCTCCGCAATATATTTTTGTTTAATTATCTACATCTGCATTCATTTTTCTTTCCTATACAAGAGTCTCGAGATCGTCACTGAGTCTTTACCAGATTTAGCTGAGTATGCGTCTAATTATATTTATGCTAATGCATTTTAAGCGGAGCTACTGCCTCTATAGTCCACTACATAGTAGTCGTAGCCCACCACAAGAGAATCGGGACAAAATGGGACACTATTTCTAATTTTTTTTTCAAACTACGTCTAGGTGACTTATGTTTCTAATTAAAAGAGAAAATCTAATTACTAAATACTGTTAATATTTATCACATAACATCAGATCACATCATCAGCCTATAAGTGGCCACTGCTGGCCTCTTCTCGCTTGGAGAAAGTTTGAGCACTAATCACCACGCTTGCTCAAGACGGATTGGAGATTTCAAACTTATAATTTAGGTGTCTTCAAGGCTAGAGTGAATAGGCTCTTAATAAACTAGTGCGCACTAGTAGTAGTTTATAGCAAAAAAATGTATTCCTTGATATGAACCTTCTCCTGACAATAATACCTACAGCAAAAAAGAATTGGTTTTTTATTGGCAAATTTTTGGTTTTACCCACGTAGTTACCGATCATCATCATCATCATAATCATCATCGTCATCATCATCATCAACATCAACATCATCATCATCATTAGCTGTTTTAAGTTTGACTCTGTGGCATCTTGGACCTCGCCTGAACGGATGAAGCGATTTCAATTCAGTTTTTTTTGTATCAAAGGTAACTTACGTGCGAGTGTTCTTAAAAATGCTTGATGAAAATTGGTTGAGTCATTTAGAAGTTATAGGGTGTAAGTGGGGAAGGGTAACCGAAGTTCTGCAAATATACTGAAACTGAAAGCACACTGAAAGGGAATGAGATGACTTAATCGAGAGTGCTTTTAGCAATATAAAATGATATAAAAATCCTATACAAAGAACGCAAATAGTAGATATTAAAAAAATTTGGAGCGGTCCCTTATCGCGACGTATTTTTACCGACTTCAAAGAAAGGAGGAGGTACTATGTGCGGCTGATTGTTTTTTTTTGTATGTTCACCGATTAAGTACTGCGCCATTTATAAACCGATTTCCAAAATTTTTATTTTGTTTCAAAGGTTATACTGCCGAAAGGGTCCCATTTTCATGAGGTCAGGATCTGATGATGGTATTCTAGGGAAACCGAGGAGAACTTTTGAAAATTGTAGGAGCGAGTAGTGCTTTTGCATGTTGTTTTAGTAGGTTTTTTACAACGCTACAACTTGCCGATGGTCGAACTAGACCTGATGATGGAGCCGGAAGACAGTCGAGGGATTTCCTTGATTATTTGGAGTAGTTACCTTGTCTTTGGGCTTCAATGATTTGTATTGGTGAGCACTTTGCATCAAGGTTGGTCGTGACTGTTATTAGGGGTCTGATGATGAGAACGAAGGACAGCTCAGGGAACTCCTGAACGGTTTACAGTAACTACCTCTTGTTTGGACTTAATTCATTTATATCGATGAAAACTTCGCACCTATATGGGTTACAATGAAGTTATGGAGTAAATTTGATAATGGAGCAGGAAGACTGGCATGGAATCTCTTAGACTATTTGGAATAATTATGTTGTGCTTGGGCTTAATTCATTTATATTGATGAGAACTTAGCACCTACATGGATTATGTAAGTATGTTGAAGGTCTGCAGTATACATGATGATGGAGACCATTGACAGTCGAGGGTAACTAACTCAGGACTACTAACTACTTTTATCGTGATTTTCGGTCTCAAGTAGCCGCCGTCTTCTCATTCGAAAACTATTATTCTTGCTTGCTCTGCCTATCACTTAAAATGGTGAAATATATAATTTTTACCGACTTCAAAAAGTAAACCAAAAAAGCAAAAAATAAATTTTCTTTGTTGTAATTTATACATGTTTTCATTTAGTTAAATAGAAAATAATATTAATAACCATTTTGTAATCTTAAAGTCGGTCGGTAGGTGCATAAAACTGTCATAGAATAACTAACTTAAGTTTTCAAAGATTACTTGACAATGATTTGGTCTTGGCTTGCCTCAACATTCAACGGTTCATTGATGATCATGAGCTTGGAACAAGGCGCAAAGCATCATATTAGATGAGTACAATTTGTTAAGTGTGCAGGGAATTGCACTAATTGATTCCCCCAAGCCCTAACCCCATTAACCTAAAATGACAGTTTTTTATATAATTGATAGCTTTTTGATAGGTACATTAAGTTTCCTTGTGAGTAGGTATATACGGGCTTGAATATTTTTGTTTATATCATTTGTGTTGCACATTTATAACTTAAACATCCTTTATTAATTTATATTATTAATATAATTAATTATAATAAACCTTAAAATTAACACAAGTCTTGTCTAGGAACACCTTTAATATGACACTCGTAATATGTTTTCCAGACATCACGATTCAATCGCACCACAAAGAAATAAATATCCATCGCAATGTTGGGCAAATAAATCAATATACATGTTAAAAATTCTGGAAATTTTCCCAATAATCTAAAGGGTAGTAGAAGATACAAACTCCCACTTACCAGAAAGATGGCGGTCGCAACACGAACTCGACGCCATCTGTCGGTCGAATTCTGGCCATTATTAAATAACGCATGCAATACTTTCAAATAAATCAAAATTGTTACAAGTAAAGGAAGGAACAGAATTACATTGTATAAGACCGCGGCTGTATTACCGGTTTCATCAATATTAGAGACAACGACAATAAGAAAAACATTGATCACTATCGGCACTACCCAGGCAAAGAGTGATATTTTAAGATACTTTTTAGTCACTTCACTATTGAAAACTTTCACTATATCTACATAGAAGACCCAGCACAATATAGAGAACCAACAATGCGCAGACATCCTGAAATACAGGAATGTTAGCTCACCCGACACTTTTATCACGGCATTTCCACTTTTCCTTATAACTATGATCAGGTCTGCCATCACGAGGTTGACGATGTTGTTGAATATGATGCTCAGGAATATGTAGTTTCTGATATGTCTAAACTTTTTTATTAAGATCCATGAGGCGAGTCCGATTATGAAGGTGATTGAAGAGAAGGTGACCACTGTGTAGAGTATATATCTTTGTTTTGTTGGAACTTCACTCGCGTTTGTAGAGTTTGTTTCCGTAGAATTAAGGATGTGAGTGTCGTTTTCCAACATAGCGATGCAGTTGCGTGCGTGGTCTCCTCCGCACGCTGCGCACGAGTGATCCACTTTATTGATTTTACTTTTAATGTTATTACCTGTTTTTGTTATCATTAAATGTTTTCTTGCTCATGTTCGTGAAATTTTCCTTATTTAAAGTATTTAGGTACCTATTTGTGTTGTGAATTCAAATACATTTTTAATTGTGACGTTTGCAAGTAGGTACATGGTCTCCATTCTAGAATTTTGCTGACTTTTCTACGTGCTACGTGCGCAGACCTTTTCGAGTGTTATGAAATATCATCCATATATCTATAGAGTGCTGAGTGAAGTTGAGGTTTTTTATCATGCCCAGATTTAAAAACCACGTCTCCTCTCCATACGTCATAACTGGAGTAACACACTGTTAATGACTTTCAGCTTGAAGCAATGTGGTATGTTGAACGAGATAATGTTGTGAAATTTCCAGAACGCTGCTCATCTAACTTGTTTTTAATGATTGGCCTACTTTTCGACATATACAAACATGTCTGGCTCATTTGTTGAAGTTATTTTCACTCAAGCGTAAGGCGCGTTGCATACCGCGCACGCTTCAAAGAGCCAATAGACCACCACAGACAGGGCCCTATAGGGCTGATCTTAAGCCGGGGTTGAGGGACAAGCGCAATAAGGCACCGCGGCTTTGGCCTAAAGCAGGAGAATTTTTAGTCAGTAACAGTCTGAAACTCCCTCCCGCCCCACCCTTGACGGGACTTATCTTAAAGTGAGGAGAGAATCATTTGATGATTTTCTCCTCACAAAAAAAGATATCTTAGTTGTTTCGTTGCGTGATTGATGTTTCACGAGTATTTATATTTAATTTTTTTTTTTGGTTACATTAACCAATTAAAATTAAATGAATTTGATGGTTTGTGTTTACTCCGAAGAACCTCCAATTTCCACTACAACGGGTGGGTGGCGTTACTCACTTGTCATCTGGTGATCTGTCCGCACAATCCTATGACATAAAAAATACGTTAGAAAAACTGAAGTTGCTAAATTGAGGTACTAACATATCTGTCCAGCTCTCCAGAAAAGAATTCGTGTTTAATAAAATAAAAATGTGAATGAATTATAAAAATAATTGAAAACAACTTTCACCCAACCTTGACTTTGTGTTTTGCGTCGTGGGTGCTTTTACAAACATACAATTTCACATACACATCACATCCAGATCCCCACAAAGAGTGGTTCCGTGCGGGAATCGACACTGCGCGCGCCAACCGTGCAGTTACTTTATCTTTAGACGAGGTAAAATCACCTAAGAAACACATTGTGGGGAAAATCAACAAATGACGTCTCCCGCCCAGGGTAGAGCGGGAGGAAGTGTCAGACTCTTACTGACTCAAACCCTCCCGTTCCTTCTCCTTCTTTGGGCCAAGGCCGCGGTGCCCCATAGCGCTTGCCCCGCAACCCCGGCCGAACATCAGCCCTCTAGGGCCGTCCGTGGTGGTCTATTAGCTATTTGAGGCAAACAAGGCCTGTCCTAATGACTTTATTTTGTGATAAGGTGGAATGTTATGTTATACCAGAATGCTTCAAAGAACGCAGGGAAATAACCTGTGCACATTTATAAATAACATTGACAAAGGTATTTGACCCCAAAAACGTGTGTTTGGCCTTACTCAACAAGAATCCGGTCGCGCATAAACAGTAAACACGGAGAATGTGCATAAATCATTCTTCACTGTTTAGGTAAACATAAAAAATACTAAATTGTTCTGTGGTTGCTGAAAGTCTGGAAAATATAAAATTTTGGCCATTCCCGTGACTCAAATTTAGTTGACGATAGATAGCCTATGGTGAAGTTTGCATAAATTAAACAATTTTATGAATGTTTTTATAGACTTTTCAAAAGCTTTGTAAGTGGATAGTATAGCAGCAAAGCAAGTATAGCTTGCCGACCGACCAGAACTAGACCCGAGCGGATAGCGAGTAGTGTTCCGCCTCAAAGAGCCTAGACAGAAAACTACAGACGCGGCCCAATAGGGTCGATGTTTAGCCGGGATTGCGGGTCTAGCGCAATAATATACTTACCGCGGCCTAAGACTGGAACAGGAGAAGGAAAAATAATGGAGTGGTTGTTAGTTGGTAAAAGTCTGACATTCTCGAAGTTAGAAACAGACGAAAAGTGAATGATGACTTCAGCTTGAGTAAGTAAGCAACGCATTTTGTAAAGGATGCCACGGAAATATTCGAACCTTGGGTGTGATTCTGTAAGACTTCATTCTAAACTTCGAATCTGAATCCGCTGTGAGAAGTAGTACACTAGCGCTACACTTGCGAGTTGAACTAAATTGACAGCATCATTTTGATAGATAAAGTATGAGATGACGTAAAAAGTGGCATTCTAAAATTTAATTACCCCGTCACTTTGACGCTCACTTCGCACTCGAACAAGATTCAAAATAAAACAAATTTTATAGAATCGACGTGGAGGAGCTAAATGACACAACATTACCAAGAAAACATATTTTCCAATGAATTGTTATTCAATCATTTATTTATTAGTAATGCACTCGAAACTACATAGTAAGTTAATTATTTTATTGTGTCGTTACGTTTATGTTTATAACATAACATTTTGCAATTTAATTAATACCTATACTTTGTTATTGTACGAAAACTGTCGTACCTACAGAGGGAATCCCATTCATACTACCTATAATACGTCTGATCTAGATGTTGTATGTATGTGTATCTATAATTTCTTCACCAGAAGAAATAAAGAATTATTTATTCTCATACAATAGTCGTGGTAAAAGATATTATAAGTAGTTGTGAACAGCTCAGTATTTTTATTTATAAGTTAATACAATTTTAATATCAAGTATATTAAAACAAAATAAATCAATCAAGGACCTAAGATAAATCGTCACGCGAATTTATTTCAAGAACCATAGAAAAAGCACTTTATTTAATACGTCAACATTATTAACAATTTTAGGTGACGTCAGCCGATTATTACTTGTGATTGAGTTACAAACAAGATCCAGTCCTTCATTCATCCATTCGTCGAAAACTAACGCAGTTGTATTATTCTTAATAGGTACCTATTTTGTTTTATATAAAACCAAGTAATATATGACTCAATAAATATACGTCATCACAGACTGCTTGACGTTAAAGCAAATTATACATAATAATAATATGTAAACACATGTATAGTATATGTATGTATAATTATATATCTACTACTATTATGTATAACTTGGATGCAGTTATATAATGTTATGTATACGTTTTACCATGTTACAAAAAAGCCATGAGTATAAATGTGGATGGATGGATAGCGAGAGGGAGACCAAAGAAAATATGGTTGGATTGTGTGAGAAGTGATATGGTAGATAGAGGAGTTAGCGATAGCGTGACGGGTGACAGGACAGAATGGAAGAAAAAACATATTGCGCCGACCCCAAATAAAACGGGACAAGGGCAGGAAGATGATGATGGTACGTTTTAACATACAATTATTAATATGTAAATAGAATAAGAATTACATAATTATATTAAAGACAAAATAAAAAAAAACTATAAATAAAATTCAATCGTCTCTTTCGTCATCATAAAGGTTTCAAGGCTTTTAGAATACAACTCTCGATTTAGGATGATTATTAGTAGGTTTCACTGCAACTGTGCTTGGTATACAGGTCAGGATACAGATAGTAGACTGCCCAAGAATCGAAGTTTTTTTTTTGTAAAGTAGTAAGTGGGCAAACGAGCAGACGGATTACCTGATGGTAAGTAATGCCCATGGACACCCGCAACGAGGAGTTACGAGTGCGTTGCCGACCTTTTAGGGATTAGGGATTTGGAGATTAAGGGATTGGGGAAGGGTCCGGGAAGGGGAAGGATTGGGCCACCTGTAATCTCACTCACACGGCGAAACACAACGCTGTGGTTGTTTAGTGTTAGTACACTTTATATATCCGGCGAATTGTAATATCTACTTTTGATTTGGGCGTTCAAGTCTTACATAATTATCATAAGTACGCCTATGCTTACGGATAAAAAGCCGTGACATTATGATGATCATTTAGAGTCAATGCTCTCAATCAATGCCTAAGACACACCTCTTTTGAGTCAACACGAACATGTCTCAACAGCTCGCAACAGGTCGTTGACATACTTACTCAATTAAAGGTCTCGGTTAAGGACAAACTCCATTACATTTGTTAAATTGAGATTGAAATATAACTCTTAATAAATAAAAAAAAGTGCTTATGTTCCTAAAAGTATACGGACAAAAAAATACAAAGTAGTTAATATTGAGCAGTGTCAAATAAAGAATAAATATATTAAACCTAAGAGAAGTAGAGTGATTGCCAAATTCTATTATAAACCGTTATAATATGCGGGTATTATTTTGATTTAAAAATTTGAAATCTTAACGGAGATCGGATGAAGTCTAATGGACAATGAAAGTGGTTCGGACCCAATAATGAACCTTGGGGAACACTCTTTTTATAATGAATTCTTATGACCGAGACTATATTGTTGAGATTTCACAATATTTTGTTTGCTGTTCATATTTCTTATTACTGAGCAATATTGCGAAGTCCTCAAAAGGCTGGTAAAGCACTCATTACTCCTACGGTGTTGCAGGTATCCATGGGTGGTACTGATTGCTTACTATTGTTTTAGAGCGCTAGTTTGTCGCCCTACCACATACAATGAAAAGGGTAAATACTAAATAGGATTATCTATGCTGGATCATCAGTAAACTCAAGAAAAACTACACAATGGTGTATATGCAAGTCTTCTCATCTTGCCCTTCTGTTAAAACTTTGTTAAATTATAGTTTTTTTGTAGTTTTTGCAATGTTACATAATAATTACAGTGGCTGGTACAAGCGCGTTGCCGGCTTATGACATCGATAATCAGGGGTATTGGCCCTCTGGTAAGTCACTCACATGATGAATAACAAACGAAAGTAGCGTTTTTTAAGCCCGTTTTTTGTGAAGGCTTGCTATCATACAAGTCGCACTCTCTTACGGAATGGGTTTTCCCAAATATAATAATAATACTTTTAGAGATTAATTACGTTTACTCAAACACACGATTAAGTTACTTAAATCATTTTCATAAAGAACTACATTGTCTGATTATAACACAAACCAGTTTTTAGCATATTTTTCCTTATTCGAAATAACTACATATGTAAAACATAGTTAATATACATAAGTATATACTTTTACGTTCAAAACTTACTTATTGGTCTAAGAAGCGTCAAAAGAAAAAGTGGATTGTGGAAAAAACAGAAGATATTAAAGAAAAGGGAGTTTGTGTAAAGATAATGTCACGTGGGTAAATGGACCACGAGACATGTGCCAACTGTGTGGATAAAGGATAAAAGATGGGAGATAAGGACAGGCAGTAAATGGAAAACAATTCTAGATAAATAAATGAATTCAACATTTAATTTACATATAGTACTTACATATTTAATTACACATTCATGAATTAAACATTTAGATAATATTCGTAAAATTATTGGACATGATTTGGCCAAACGTAGTATATGTGCATATCCTTCTTAACTAGCCAAAACTAGCTAACTAGTCTAACCTAGACTTCATTTAAATTATTTTCGTTAGTGATACGAGACTTCTGGCAAAAGGGTGAGCCCAGTCATTCTTTTGAAATTAATTAGTTAGTTTTTCAATTTCATTGTGTCAAAATCTGATTTGGTTGTTTTGATTTAGTTGACCTATTGTCGTCTGCACTACTGTGTGAATTATGTTCCTACTTGCTCTGAATGCCGATTTCCAATCTTGGTTTTACCAGGCTCGGCTATTTATAAACATAATATTACCGGTATTTAAGTTTCTAGGAACGGTAAAGATGTCAATGCTTTTAGCCTTTCATTTTTATTACCAGTTTAAGATTCGAGTTTTCTTATACCTTTTGATGCGGTGACAATCCCAGGATTCATAGATCTATCCAATTCAAAACAAGAAACAAACGTGGTTTCAAATATGTACCTGGTTCTTTATTCAATCATCTTAGTTTTAAAACACATAAACTTTCAAACAAATCGTCGATTCACAAAACCAACTGGTTCATTAATTCAAAATCATTTTTTGAATTTCGATACTTAATCCTTTCAAGTCGAATTTGACTTCAAATTTCACTCTCAAGGTATATTTTTATTGGTTAGTTTGCTTGCAAAATACTTTTTCCATAATTCTCGATTACTTCTGACTAACGGGAGAAATACATCTATCGCAACCTGCTGCAATTTAGACATAACTGCCCTCAAAGCAAATGTTACACTCATTGCGTCCCAAATAAATGAAGATAACACTAAAACATCGCTCAGGAGAAACAGCAACGTGGCAATATAAAACCGACGCCAATTATTTGTTGCTGTAGGAGTTTTTGGCTTAAAACATTGGCATAAAGCAAATAACACAGCGGCGTACAATCCACAATTAATCATTAAAGGTGATACAATTATAAATACTTCAACAGAATCAGCAACATAATCTAATGTAGAACCGATCAAATAAAACTGTCCTTTTTTATTGAAATAAAGAAACACGTAATAAGCCAAAAATGTCACAAATGGTATGCCCCACGCAAACAGACAACACTTCAAGTATTTTCTCTTCACATGCCCACGAAACACTTTCACAATGTCCACGTAGAATATGTAACAGATCACTAGCATCCAATAGTTCTGCACAGCGGAGAAGTAGGTGCAAATGTAGCGGCAGATGTCCAGGATATCTTTGTCGTCGATCACAATAACTTGCATCACACAGGGTATGATGATAGACACTGTCAAGAGACGTAGCAAGCTGGAAACGATTGCATTGATGTACACAAAGTTTCTGAAGTGCCGGAATTTCTTGATGAGACACCAAGAGATGGCGCCGTAGACGAACGCTGCTAATGTCATTACGAGGACGAGATATTCCACCACCACTGACACGAGTGGAGGTTTGAAGGCCGTAGTGTTAGGCACGGGGATGCGACTATAATGAACATCACTGTCAGACATTGTCGCTATGCGGATGAAGAAGCGAAACCACACGACCGCCTCGTCTTAGCGACCCACACGAATAGAGTTTTTTGAACAAGACATTAAGTATATATCTACCTATTTACTGCAGGAAAAACCACTCGCGTAACTGGCTCAGCAGGGATACGAGTATAACCATAGAAGTGGCTACATATAACCGAAGCCTAACCGGTTTGACATATAGCACTTGAATAGATTTACTTTTTACCCATGCCTAATACGATCCTATAAAATTTATTAATAAAAAATATGTTTGTTTTAACAATTTCTTACCTAACTACTGCCATCTCTTATGCCTAAAAATTTATAACAATGTGGTTTGAGTCTAGACCTACTGCGCAATTTACACGCCTTCAATGACACCTTTTTTGAGTTGAGAAAATCATCAATTTACTTCCGCCCTGGATGAAGCGAGAAAACCAATCCTTTTCTTCTACTGTTCCGAGCCAGACCACGGTACATGCCATCTGCGGGTCTGGATCTGGTCTCCAGACTCACGCTTTAGTGGCCTGTGATCATCGATTCCAGACGCCTGGAGCGCTTCCTGCGCTGGCTGTGGCTTGTAAAACATCGAAACCACACCCGCTCCGCTTCCTTCTTCTTTATGAGCATGATTGCCTCTCAGAAGCAGGAAGCGTTCCCGGTTCTCCCACTTCTCCGGTCTGGACCAAGGTTCGGCACGACACGTTACTGCCATAACTTTTCTTTTTGCTTTGCTTTAGTCGAATAACTAACCGAAATCGACTTGATTGTTGAACAGCCAAAATGACAATAGAATGTTTTTGTTGATTAAGTTATATGTGGTCATATCAGTCTTGAATAATGGTAGTCATCTGAATAAACCTGTGTCATCAACTGAATTTCATCCGGGAATCAAACTCAAAATCTTATTAGCATTTAACTTACTATAAGCCACTTTGTCCCACCGCCGTATCCTCAGGGAAGTGATCGGCGGTGGCGACCTTTCGCGCCCGGCCTTAGTCGAGGCCATGGTGCGGAGTGAGAGGAACTGGGACGCCGTGTCCTCCTTTTGTGAAGCAGTCATGCTCGCAAAGAGAGAGGCGGCCCGCGTGAGGGAGCAATCCTCCTACCTCACGCCCCAGCAGCCGCAACTGGCGACACTACGGTCGTCGGGGATCAAGGGACTATCTCCGGCCATCGTGATCGCGGTCGGCGCGTAAGGGCAGCTCGCCGCCCGACCAGAACCAGACCCGAGCGTACGGCGCGTAGCGTTCCGCGCGCGCCTCAAAGAGCCATTCGACCACCACAGACGGGGCACTAAAGGGCTGATGTTCAGCCGGGGTTGCGGGGTAAGCGCAATGAGGCACCGCGACCTCGGCACAGAGCAGGAGAAGGAACAGGGGGGTTTTTAGTCAGTAAGAGTCTGACACTCCCTCCCGCCCGGCCTTGGGCGGGAGAAGTCATTTGATGATTTTCCCCTCACAAAAAAAGCCACTTTGTCCCATAATACTGTGACCCTGGTAGAATTGGTAGAATAAAATATTTCACACAACATGTCAATCGTTTTAAGTGTGGGAAAGGCCACGCTTCTGCACCAATCGTCCAGCTCGTTCTGGCCTCAACAAAAACCGGTGTGCAACAAACCCAGTGCTTGCTGACCTATCCCAAAAAATCATGTATTGTGGTCAGTGATATCTCATTCGAGTTACCTTTGTTCAATCGAGAACATTTAAAAGTCCATTGCTAGACTGATGATGATGATGGTGATGATGATGATGATGATTATTATGATGATGATGGTGATGATGATGAAGATGATGATGATTGAAATGGACAAACAAACCAATTTTTTTTTTAATAAAATGTATTACAAAAATAATACAAACATAGGAGAGTTCATAAGCATTTTCTTTTAAATGATAACATAAGATTTGACTTCATTATAAAAAACAAGTATGAGTAGTTGCCTTAATAAAAAATACATACTTTTCAGAAACGAATGAATAAAAAATCACTTTTAACAATGGTTTGTCAATCCTCTCGATTTTCTGAAATAACTAGATAATTTCTTAATTTTTTTTTTATTATTAGTGCAATTTAATGCATTGAAAATTTCGATAAAATTATTAAATTTGATTAGCACTAAACTAGCATATTAGTACCTAACAGTACCTACTTGCATAAGTGCATACTAAATATCTTGGTAGACTTTACAGTCAGTCATCAAATAACAGATTTCGAAAACTGTGAAACTTATACAAAACTTATAAAACCTGATTCTGAAGAAATTGTTACAAGTTAACAGTACAACAGTGAAAAGTTCTTATACATTATATTATTAAAAAACTTATTATGTCAGTTTCATTCTCACATCATTAATTTTTATAATTTTCTAAGCAGTAAGTTTAAATTAGTCTTAATGTCATTTGACGCAATTCCATAGAAAAGTTAAGTTTACAGAGTCAAAATACTGAGCTCTTATTTTAATATAAATATTCTATGTAAATCTTTAAATCAGTCTCATTCTTACAAGTCCATTTATAGGTAAATAAACCAAAACTTACAACTATAATACTATTATTCAGTATTGGAGAACTATTCTCCCCTACAATTGAGCTGGATCGATCTTACGAAGGCCTCACAGAAATCGGCGCAAAACAACGCTTGCGTTTCTGTCGCCTTGTGATTGGGGTTTTAAAGACCCAATCCATTCCCCATCCTCATTCATCTATCCTCAAATCCCTGACGGATCTATGCACTTGTAACTTCTGGTGTTGGTCTCCGATTGCTTACCATCAAGACCCCAAAAATTTAGAACTCTTAATCAGTTTAGAATACAGAGGAATAAGAACACACACTTTTACATTATTGAACTATTGATGTAGTAATATTTATAAATGTAATTTAAAATTTCGACTAGTTTCCAATCACAGATGAGTAACTTAATATTAATAATACAAATGTAAATAAAGTGTATACAGATCAAAATTGTCATTCAGATCATATTGAGATATCACACATAGACAAAAACAATTCTATGTTTCATCACATAATGCAAAGTTATGTTAATTTTGGGATTTTACCTGTTAGTGATTCAGTAAGTACTTAAGTCTACACAGGTTTATTTATAAAATTTATAACCATAAAAATACGTATCTTTACATGTACACCTACTTCCTCATTCGGCCATCTTCGTTTTTAAAACCCATATCACGAAAAAAACTCCCGTCTAATGTCGAATTATTGACACGAAAACAATCCAGTCGTCAATCATTCCTTCACGGAATCATTTCATTTCATTCAAAATTATACAGATTATAAATTTGAATCTTGCAACTAAATCCTTTCAAGTTGAATGTGACTTCAATGATCACTCTCAAGGTATGTTTTTATTCGACAGTTTGCTTGCGAAATACTGTTGCCACAATTCTCGATTACTTCTCACTAACGGGAGGAATATATCTATCACAGCCTGCTGCAATTTAGACATAACTGCTCCCAAGGCAAATGTTACATTCATTGCATTCCAAATAAATGAAGATAACACCAAGACATCGCTCAGGAGAAACAGTAACGTGGCAATATAAAAACGACGCCAATTATTTGTTGCTGTAGGAGCTTTCGGTTTAAAACATTGACAAAAAGCAAATAACACAGCAATGTACAATCCACAATTAATCATTAAAGGTGATACAATTATAAATACTTCAACAGAATCAGCCACATAATCTAATGTAGAACCGATCAAATAAAACTGTCCTTTTTTATTAAAATAAAGAAACACGTAATAAGCCAAAAATGTCACAAATGGTATGCCCCACGCAAACAGACAACACTTCAAGTATTTTCTCTTCACATGCCCACGAAACACTTTCACAATGTCCACGTAGAATATGTAACAGATCACTAGCATCCAATAGTTCTGCACGGCGGAGAAGTAGGTGCAGATGTAGCGGCAGATGTCCAGGATATCTTTGTCGTCGATCACAATAACTTGCATGACACAGGGTATGATGATAGACACTGTCAAGAGACGTAGCAAGCTGGAAACGATTGCATTGATGTACACAAAGTTTCTGAAGTGCCGGAATTTCTTGATGAGACACCAAGAGATGGCGCCGTAGATAAACGCCGCTAATGTCATTACGAGGACGAGGTATTCCACCACCACCGACACGAGTGGAGGTTTGAAGGCCGTAGTGTTAGGCACGGGGATGCGACTATAATGAACATCACTGTCAGACATTGTCGCTATGAGGATGAAGAAACGAAACCACACGACCGCCTCGTCTTACAGACCCACACGAATAGAGTTTTTTGAACAAGACATTAAGTATATATCTACCTATTTAAGGCAGGAAAAACCACTCGCGTAACTGGCTCAGCAGGGATACGAGTATAACCATAGAAGTGGCTACATATAACCGAAGCCTAACCGGTTTGACATATAGCACTTGAATAGATATACGTTTTGCCCATGCCTAATACGATCCTATAAAATTTATTAATAAAAATATGTTTGTTTTAACAATTTCTTACCTAACTACTGCTACGAGTATCTCTTATGCCTAAAAATGTTTAACAATGTGATTTGAGCCTAGGGCTACTGCGCAATTTACACGCCTTCAATGACACCTTTTTTGAGTTGAGAAAATCATCAATTTACTTCCGCCCTGGATGAAGCGAGAAAACCAATCCTTTTCTTCTACTGTTCCGAGCCAGACCACGGTACATTATTGCATGCGCCGTCTGCAGGTCCGGATCTGATCTGCAGACTCTGCTTTAGTGGCCTATGATCATCGATTCCCGATGCCTGGAGCGCCTCCTGCGATGGCTGTGGCTTGTAGAATATCGAAACCACACCCGCTCCGCTTCCGTCTTTATGAGCATGATTGCCTCTCAGAAGCAGGAAGCGTTCCCAGTTCTCCCTCTTCTCTGGGGTTGGACCAAGGCTCGGTGTGATACTCAAGCTTTGGAATGATCTTCCGGCGGCGATATTCCCGTACCGATACGACCTT